CACCACTGTATTTCAAACCCACAGGTATCACAGAAAACCCGAAATAAAATGTAGGTTAAATGGCCGAACTTTGGAAAAGAAAAAAAGTCAAACTTTTCTATGAAATCCAAAGATTCCCACTTCCTGAACTACGCATTGCACAAGTAATGCTCCTAGAGCAGCCTTCACACATTTGTCTCCAGGAAAAGTAAACCACGTGTTGATAAAGTGATAAAATCTACTATTTGATTCAGATAAACAAGAGAGATCTTGTAACGCCAAAATAAATCTCTTCTTTTAAAACACACACACACAAGACAACTATCCAAGAAAAGGAAAGGGAACTTTAAAAGGGAGCACCCGGATAAAAAGTTCAACTGTGCTTCCTATAAAGTGCTGAATACACTACAAGACCACTGCCTCAGAAAGGGGTGTGCAGGTGTATAGAGACGCACACGTATACACACCTGTCTGCGTACACGCGCGCACATACGAGTAACCGCGAGGTGGTCAAGTGCGCTCTGCACCATTAAAGGCCACCAGCCCCTGCAGAGCCGCCGTCAAATGCACAGAAGAGCACCCTTCGGGATCGGCGAGCCCCGAAACTCAAGAGCACCCCCAACGTCCTGCCCCCATAGCCTAGTAACCACTTGGAGTACCACCCCGGGACCCTCAGGCCTTCCACCGTGGGCTCAGGTGAGAAAGGGGCTACAGCAGGCTCAAGAGAGACAGGTAGACCAGCATCTCACAGGTAACAATTGTCTCCTGTGTCCCTTGCCTCATCACTGATCACCAAGATACTATCCTGTTTTCCTATTACTCAATTATCTGCGACTGTGATTTCATGAAGTTGAGCAGATGAGAGGAGCAGACTCTAGAGACACAAGAGAAGTCTTATTTATTACAGAGTCAGACCCAATCTACAAAGATTGACTTCTAAAAAAAAATAATAATAATCTACAGGATCTCTCAAGACAGAAGCCTGACAAAGGCCGGTAGCATTGTTTAATCTCGAGAACATGAGATAAAGCTGGGGTGGACAAGGAGGAGCCCAGCATCAGGACTCGAGAAATACAGGGTTAAGTTCTGACTCAGTCAATTATGAGATTTTTGTGGCTCTGGGCAATTACCAAATAGTCTGAATTTCAATTTTCCTCTCTCTAAAGCATTAAAGGTTAAAGTATTAAAAATCAAGTAAATCTTAAAATGAAATAATGTGTGTAAAAGACACTGGATGTCAAGCATTTAAGATAGATTAACTTGAAGATGGATAGATCGTATGTTCTCCTTCCAGCCTCCAGGCCCTGACACGTGCCTTGGTCTCTGCGCGGCACGTCTGCTGGCCCCTGGACCTCTCATTCCTGCCCCCACATCCACATCCCTCACCTGGACAACCTTTCTCAACCTTCAGATCCTCTCTCAAAGAAACCTCACTCGTGAAGACCTTCCTGGATGCGTCGGATAAATCTCAGTTCAGGTTAGACCTTCTTGTTAGGATCTCCGAAACTCCTATCTATCTATCTATCTATCTATCTATCTATCTATCTATCTATCTATCATCTATCTATCTATCTATCTATCTACCTACCTACCTATCTACCTACTTACCTATCTAGCTAGCTAGCTAGCTGGCTATCTAGCTATTATCTATCTATCTATCTATCTATCTATCTATCTATCTATCTATCATCTATCTATCTACCTACCTACCTACCTATCTATCTACCTACCTATCTATCATCTATCTACCTCCTTCCCTCCCTCCCTACCTACCTACCTACCTACCTACTTATCTAGCTAGCTAGCTAGCTAGCTAGCTGGCTATCTATCTACCTAACTATCTATCTACCTCCCTATCTATCTACCTCCCTATCTACCTACCTAACTACCTACCTATCATCTATCTATCTATCTATCTATCTATCTATCTATCTATCTATTTTTCTTTCTACCTATCTACCTATCATCTACCTATCTACCTACCTATCTACCTACCTATTATCTATCTATCTACCTCCCTATCTACCTATCATCTATCTACCTATCTACCTATCTACTTACCTATCATCTATCTACCTATTATCTACCTCCCTATCTATCTATCTATCTATCTATCTATCTATCTATCTATCTACCTACCTATCTACCTACTTACCTATCTAGCTAGCTAGCTAGCTGGCTATCTAGCTATCTATTATCTATCTATCTATCTATCTATCTATCTATCTATCTATCTATCATCTATCTATCTACCTACCTATCTACCTACCTACCTACCTACCTACCTACTTATCTAGCTAGCTAGCTAGCTAGCTGGCTATCTATCTACCTAACTATCTACCTACCTATTATCTATCTATCTACCTCCCTATCTACCTATCATCTATCTACCTATCTACCTACCTACCTATCTACTTACCTATCATCTATCTACCTATTATCTACCTCCCTATCTATCTATCTATCTATCTATCTATCTATCTATCTATCTATCTACCTACCTACCTACCTACCTACCTACCTACCTACCTACTTATCTAGCTAGCTAGCTAGCTAGCTGGTTATCTATCTACCTAACTATCTATCTACCTCCCTAGCTATCTACCTCCCTATCTACCTACCTAACTACCTACCTATCATCTATCTATCTATCTATCTTTCTACCTATCTACCTATCATCTACCTATCTACCTACCTATCTATTATCTATCTATCTATCTATCTATCTATCTATCTATCTATCTATCTATCTAATCTATCTATCTACCTCCCTATCTACCTATCATCTATCTACCTATCTACCTACCTACCTACCTATCTACTTACCTATCATCTATCTACCTATTATCTATCTATCTATCTATCTATCTATCTATCTATCTACCTATCTACCTACCTACCTACCTACTTACCTATCATCTATCTACCTATCTATCTATCTACCTATCTATCATCTATCTATCTATCTATCTATCTATCTATCTATCTATCTGAGAGAGAGAGAGAGAGAGAGAGAGAGAGAGAGAGAATGAGCATAAGCACGGGGACGGGCAGACGGAGAAGCAGAGTCCCCGCTGAGCAGGGAGCCGGATGTGGGTCTCGATCTGAGGACCCCGGAGTCACGACCTGAGCCAAAAGCAGACACTTGAGTGACTGAGCCCCTCAGGCACACCAGGATCTCCTAAACAACTTGAGGAGACCTTGGTAGTTTATACTTATTTACATCTGTGTCACCATTGCTTGATGCTGACTCTGTTGAGTCTACTCAACAGAGCTGTATTCCTCTAAATTTTCACACAGATAAGCAATCCCTCACGTCTGAGGGTTCCGTTCCACAGCCACCGGACCACCGTCACTAAGATTTTAATCGTCATCTTTTTTGAGTGTTTATTTTTCTTCATAACACATACCATAATTTGCTGCTACATTTTCAGTAGTCTTCCACATGGTGTGCCTAACACCCCTCAGGGCTGAGCTCTACATGGTTGGGGGCTCTGCGTTTTATTTACAATTTTATCTCCACAATCTGGAACAGTGTGTATATTCCATAATATCAGGAACCCAGTAACTTCTGAATGAAGTTAATACACATTGTGCATTCGGGCTTGTTTCCCAATATTCATCGCAGATATATACTGATATGTGATAACCCCTCATAATTCCTCTGGCAACTCTAGTGTGCAGGAATGTCAATGAGGCGGGTGCCTGGGCGGCTCAGTCGGTCAGGTGTCTGCCTTTGGCTCAGGTCATGACCTCAAGGTCCTGGGATCGAGTCCCACATCAGGCTCCCTGCTCCGCGAGGAGTCTGCTTCCCCTGCCCCCTCTGCTTGTGTGCTCTCGCTTGCTCGCTCTCTCTCTCTCTCTCTCAAATAAATAAAATATTTTTTTAAAAAAGAATATTAATGAGGACCACTTAGCAAGTCTAACTTTCTAAGATCCTCGAGGGGGTCATAATTGGTGAACTTCACATCCACCACCACTGGGTTTTGATTCTGTTAAAATTTACGGATCTACATGGGAATAGAAACTCTGGCCTTGATCTCATGGCTACAGTGCTTTGAAGAAAAACGCTGTACCTGTGGAACTATTTTAAACAAGAAAAGCAAGCCTAAATTAACATGAAAACTAGACAGTAGCAATATGGAATAAGGGTGTTTTTGTTTTTTTTTTAAATATTTTTTTTTAATTTTTATTTATTTATGATAGGCACACAGTGAGAGAGAGAGAAGCAGAGACACAGGCAGAGGGAGAAGCAGGCTCCATGCACCGGGAGCCCGACGTGGGATTCGATCCCGGGTCTCCAGGATCGTGCCCTGGGCCAAAGGCAGGCGCCAAACCACTGCGCCGCCCAGGGATCCCGGAATAAGGGTGTTTTTTAAAAATATTTTTATTTATTTATTCATGAGAGACAGAGAGAGAGAGAGGCAGAGACTCAGGCAGAGGGAGATGCAGGTTCCCTGCGGGGAGCCCGACGTGGGACTTGATCCTGGGACCCCGGGGTCACGCCCTGAGCCAAAGGCAGATGCTCAACCACTGAGCCACCCAGGCGTCCCAAGGAATAAAGGTGTTTTGCATGGTTCACCTTATTAGAGCTTTTTAAAATAGATTCCATTCGGGATCCCTGGGTGGTGCAGTGGTTTGGCGCCTGCCTTTGGCCCAGGGCGCGATCCTGGGGACCCAGGATCGAGTCCCATGTCGGGCTCCCAGTGCATGGAGCCTGCTTCTCCCTTTGCCTATGTCTCTGCCTCTCTCTCTCACTGTGTGCCTATCATAAATAAAAAATAAAAAAAAATTTAAAATAGATTCCATTCTATGGGAAACACTTGTTAAAACCTTGTTCGACAGATAATACAACTGTCTTACTTTACCTGAGGACATCAGCAGAACTTTTATATAATTTTTTTAGTGACTTGAGATGAAGAGCAACAGGTTAAAAAATCAGTCAAAATATCTACAAGGCTGCTTTTGTTCTAACGAAGCCAAGCAATTTCATGAAGTGAAAGCAAAGCAACCAACCTTACCTCTTACAATAAGTTGAGCAAAATTGGACACCCCGGAACCTCGTTCTGACTGAGTTACACAGCGATACAGATCCTGGTCAGTTTTTGTCACTTCCTGCAATCTAAAGGAAGCAGCAAATCTTCTGTGATTGATGTTCTTAGTCTGGGCTACTGGGATATCTTCTCCATTTCGTCTCTGCAAGAAGAAACCAATCGTTAAGAAACAGGTTCTTAACATTTCCATAAATCTAAAGCATCTTCGCAACCAATTTCTGTGATAAATTATTCTTGTTCCTAAATTAGGAGGAAAACGTCTAGGTAGCCCCACAAATTTTTACCACTATCATTCAACCCCCAAAAAGCATGGAAATAAACTTTGGTATCCGTTAGGGGCATAGCACTGGCATTATAGCTTACTTCTATTTTCCACGAAATTGTTATTAGCTCAGAATATATGAATTAACAGAACAGTTAATGGCCCCTTGGCATATGATTCATTGCCCTCCTCCTCCTTGAGTATACGTAGGGGGACTTCTTTTAGCCCTTATTCTATACTGCATGTGCTATGTAATAGGTTTGTCCCCATGGGAAGACCAAGACGATGCCCAATGCAACTTAGTATTCGAAATGTGTAGCATGTGATCTGCCACAGAATGACAATAAAATACTGATGAATAATTTAGAGTCAAACCAAAATCTGTACTCTGCAAACTTTATCTCTTTGGCACTAATGACAGCCAATTTATACCATTTAAGAAAAGTAATCAAAAGAACCTAAATGCTAATAGCATATCTGTCAACTTACAAAATGAAATACTGAAAAGCATATTTATGATATCAGGGTACCTCACACAAGACCAGTAAGTGTAAGCTATAAAGGAGATGGTTGAAAAAGTCAACTATAATAAAATTTATAACTTCTGTATGTTGAAAGACATCATAAATAAAGTGGGGGAAAAAAAAACCCATGAACTGTGATAAGATATTTGTCATGGAAATAATCCATCAAAAGATAAATAGCCAGGTTATGTAAAGATCTTCTACAGTTCAATAAGAAAAAAGACAAACAACCCTATCAAAAAGTGGATAGGCTATAAAAAAGAGAAAATGTGTTTGTCTAATAACCAAGAAAAGAGATCCTCAGCCTAAATTTTAAAATGTCCATATGTCAAAGACAGCACAAAGGGCAAAGAAAAGTTGTAACGATGAGAAAGAATGGGTCAGGAGCCTCAACCTCATCTCTTGTTGGTGAAATGCTAAATATCCCCGGTGTCCTTTCATACGACTTAAAACATCAATTCCTATTATTAGATGTGGAAAACAAAACCCCTAAAATTATTAATGGAAGTTCAAAATGTTAGACTCATTTTAGAAGATAATTTGCTACTATCTAGTAAATTTGAAGACGGAAATTCCTTAGCACCCAGCGGTCCCACTTCTGCATTTCGACATTTGAAACACTTTTGCACGTGATCAAGGAGATACGCACGGGAATGTTGAACTCAGAACCATTGCAATATGGGGACAGTTAAATATGGGAGAGATCCAAATTTTCCTGAATAGTGGATAAGTCAACTGAGATTTATCTATTCAATAAAATACAACGTAGAAGTTTATGCAAACTAAGACCAGCAGTGTGCTGGCAAAATGCTGAAGAGCTAGCTCTTAACCAAAAATAATAAACTGTTGATTTGTATCGTGGCTCAATTTCTGTGGTGTAAATACTCCCACTGTGGCCACTTTCAAATTGCCTGTGTAACATCATTTGACTCCTAAAATTACTGAAAAATCAGTAATAGCAATCCCAACCAGCTCCACTATTCCTCTGGTGTGAAATACACATATACATGTTTAAACCCCAGATAAAATTCCTTAACAAAAATTAATACATGAAATAAAAGTGCAAAATGTCAACTTCTTTTAAATTCGAGTGGTGGGTACATTAGTGGTCCTTACTGTTTTCCATAACTTTTTCATGGCTGAAATACATTTTTTAGAAGAGTAAATAATAAAAGGATCATTCTATTACTTTTGTGATTAAGTTTTAAATCCTAAAACCCACTGAACCTGTAAACTCTCCTCTCCACATCTGAAACAATGCGTTTGTGCATACTATGTGGTATATATGTGCGTATGCCTATGCATACACACACACATTTACCTAAGGACCCAAAGTTCCAACTACAATTTTACCATATTTTATTCATTCAGCTTATTGTTAATTCTTTCCTTACCCACCTATCCCATGATTTCTGCACTAAGATCTCTGATCATTCTCCTGAACAATAGTGAAGAGAAAACGCAGCTTATATTCAGAAGCCCTAAAAGATATAAATCCATAAAATCAAGTCTAGATTCTCTTTCCCTACAAACCACACAAACAAGGCCCATTACATATGCACCTTTCTGGCTCCCCTTTTTTCAATTACTACATCCCTTGATAAGGTCTTTCTAACCAGAAGGCACTTTTTATACCTGCAAGTACTCTCACTTCCTCTTCCTCTAACTTATCCCTCCAGTGGTGCCCTCAACCTTTGGCCACCTTCCTCTCTGCCATTTATATTTCTCAGCTCTTCAAGACCAGCCAAGTCCGGTGGCCGCCCTACCTTCTGAATTACCTTGTGCATGCACACACACACCCATGTCTTTTAATGCTGTGCCTTTCAAAAGCCCATCTTCTTCTGGGAAGAGATTCTAAGTACCCTCAGTGTTTCCGTCTCAATCATCATTATTTCATCTTTCCACCTTAATTGCCATTCATCTCACAATACCACTTTCCTTCAAACTTTTCTTCTATGGCCTTACTCTCTTTCAGGGAAGGCCACCATTAACCAGTCCATCCCTTGCGGACCACTCCACCACAATCCCACTCACCTACGTCTCATCTTCGGGAATTCTGAGCATGCCCAAGTATCATTCCCATCACAGTTATCTATCGGGCAAAAATGTCCTTTCCACCATAGTCCTGTGAATATTATCGTGATCCCAAAACTCACCCTGGCCTCAGTGATGCCCAACAGCCTCTTTTACTATCATAGAACAACCAAGTTCCCCTGCTACAACAGTTTCCTCTAGAACCACAATGGACCATGTGGTTCTCCCATTCCTTCAATCCTCTGCATTTTCAATGAGACCTTACTTGATCCTTTACTTTGCAACCAGACATCAAAGTCTCAATGACTGGCTTTTCTATCTTGAATTTCTTCTAATATATTCTTTTTCTCTATATATGTCTAGGCCTAGATCTAGATAGATATACATACTTTTTTTCCCCTCTTTGTATACTGAAATCACCCTAAAGATAGGTTTTCTAGTCTTATTTGTATGTATATACATATATTTTTTTTTCTTCCATGCCATCACATGTATTATCTTTTTTTAATAAGTGCTCAAGTTCTTGGTTAAAATGAATTAAATTCACTGATGTTTTCAGAGACAGGGATCATGTAAGACTTCCTTAGGCTTTTATAAATTATTCTAACAAAAATATACTAACCATTAATTAAAATAATAATAAAGAGAAGCTACATAAACATAGAACCTCAAAAGCATCTGGAGATCATTTATGCCAAGCTATTTCTGAACAATACCTTAACTTCGAGACATTTAGGGCCTACTTAAGATGATTCAGGAGTACACAAAGCCGATTATATTACATTATGTTTATATTTGTGTTTATTAATATGTTAATATAACTGCAAAATATATAAGCCTATATAGGATATACATTATTTATATAATTAAAGGGCACAGTAGCTATACATGGTATTCATTTTTTGAATTAACAACAACCACTCATCATACCGTTATACCCTCCTAATACTTAGGCTTATCTTCAATACCATTTAATAAGTGCCTCCATGTGCCAGATGGTATATAGGCTATTATCTTGGTTCTACTGCTGCTATCTCAAAAAAAAAAAAAACTATGTGATAATTATTCCCATTTAAAAATCATAAAATCAGGATTCAGAAAGATTAGAAATGTGATATGTACCCTCTTAGTAGTGGGATTAAAACTCAAAACCAGGCTTAATGACACAAAATCCAGCAGTATTTCCTCTAACCTAAACCAAAGCTGCTTTTATTCACTTATATTATAGGCCTAGTCCAATGAATTGGTTGTTTATTGTAAAGCCTTGATTAATGCATTGTACCAATGAGAAATATAATCTACTATACTAGGCATTGCATTATTTACTCAGCTTCCAGTAATGCATTACAGTTAAAAGTAGCAAATGATGACATGTACGTTTGAGAAGTCAAAAATAATGATAACTCTTCTTTTATAATCCAAAATAATAGACCTTTGCCTGACTACAAACTATCAATTTAGCAGAATGGGCAGTGCTATGAAAGAAGAAAAAAAGAATGTCAATTTCTCCCTTATGCAGCCGTGTTTGCATATAGTTTTCTGCTTTTATATTCTTCAGTCCCAGGCTCTTTAGCTTGCTTTAAAGTTTTTTTTATATGATTTCTTCATTTTAAGTACCCCCAACTCTGAGAAATGAACCACAAAATTATATGATCCAAGGATTATGACCTAACATGTTGCCTTTTTCTCTCCCCGACTTCCCATATCCTCATAATGCTTTCTTATTTGCTAGGTCTCCAGTACAGGTTGCTGAGACTTGTCACTTACCAAATAAGCCTGGGCAAGTCATGACATTCCCTAGTATTATTACCTCTCTCTTTAAGTAAGCTTCCTCATGCAGGCCATAGGCAGTGTTTATCTGACAAGTTCAGTTTCTGGCTTAAAGTAGTGTAGTGATAATATTGGTTAATTCTCAACATCTATAATAGCCAGGTTATTAGTCAAACCTCCTATACTCAAAGTATGCTCTACAGACCAGCAGGATCAGAATTACCTGTCAAACTGTTACAAATACTAAGTCTAGAGATCACTCTCAACCTACTGAATCAAAATCCACATTTTCACAAGATCCCTAGGTTAATGGGTCAAGACATTACAGCTTGAGACACACTGGTAGAAAGCAATCATGGAGGTTCTATTCCTAATAATAGTGAAAGTGTTAAAAATGGGTATGTACCCTGATTCTGGCCAATGAGATTCGACAGAAACAGGCCAATTCACTTCTAGAAAGGTTATCACGTCTCAAGAGAAGACACAGTGGGTCCTCTTTCCTTTTTCTCCATGTTATGCCTAAAACTACAAGAGCGGACTGGTCAATGTGAG